TATACCTGGCACTCAGTATTACTGACTGAATAAATCTGGCCTTTGCTTACCTCCCCAACCACATTTCTCCTTACTTTACCTACCTCTTTAATCTACTTCCTAGCCAAGCAGATTTTCCTGACATATCAACCTCTTTAAGCCTCAGTGACCCTGCACACTCTATTCTTTCTGCCTAGATGCCTTCAGCATGTCCCTTTTTCATTTCTGCCACCCTAGCCTAGATAATTACTTTCAAGATTCAGCACAAATAGCTGCACACCCCACCTTGGACCACCGCCACCTTTTATCACTCCTAACACTTAATATACACTGTGCTGTAGCTATATACTGTCTGTCTCCTGAACCAGACTGAGAGAGCTGTAAGAGGACAGGGACCAAATCATATTAGTCATATATTCCCAGGGCCAACCAGTGCCAGGGACACAGAACCCAAATACTTTTCCAGTGAAATAATTGGAGGGTATGAAATGGAGATAATGCTAGCCTATTAAGTCAAACAAAGAAAACTCAACAAACAAACACAACAACTAAAAATCATAAAGGACACCAATAAGGAGGGAAAAACTGGCTAGTGGTTTCCCCACTACAACAAAGCCCACTATCTGAAAATTCAGAATTATTAAAATAAATCAGGCATTTTTATTCGTCTTTCAAAATATACACCAAAGAATTTCTTTATATATATATATTTATATTTCCCTAAAAACTTTTTTTTTTTAAGGTATCACTTTTTTTTTAATACATTTTTAAAATTGATTTCAGAGAGGAAGGGAGAGGGGGAGAGAGAGATAGAAACATCAATGATGAGAGAGACTCATTGATTGGTTGCCTCCTGCACGCCCACTACTGGGGATCGAGCCCACAACCCAGGCATATGCCCTTGACCGGAATCAAACCCGGGACCCTTCAGTCCACAGGCCAATGCTCTATCCACTAAGCCAAACCAGCTAGGGCTTCTCTAAAAACTTTTAATGTAACATTTGGTTTACACATGATTTGTAGGACTACACATCCATCTCATACAATAAAAACATTTTACCAGTCTAAATTATGCAACACTTAGAATTTCAGTGAATTTAGTTTACATTTTCAGTGAGGTTGCAAAGTAACTCATCCCACACATGTCTGCCATTCCCAAGTGGTCAAACATCCCAAGAGTGTGTGTGTGTGAAGAGGGGGGAGGAGGAGTCTCTCTCTTTCCTGCAGTCTATACAAATTAAGTAGAAGGTAGAAGTGGAAGATAAACACATAAATAACTTGGGTTACAATTATAAACTAACAAACATATAAAGCTGACAAGCCCTGAACACATTCTGGATGCTGAGGATTGTATGAGCCAAGAAGGGATCATATTTACTATCTGATTTGGGGCCCTGAAGGAGAAACAAGTCAAGTCAGGGCACTCTGACTCCACAAATAGGAGAAAGAGTAGCAAACAACTTACGATTACTTATTCATGTTCTTACAACATGGAAAGCAACTCATTTAAAATTTAGTATATTAAGACTCAAACTTACTTAGCTCTTTTCCTGATCTTCAAGATAAAAAAATGGAGATTTCTGCAAACACCCTTCGGACAGAACATATAAAGCTGATAGCAATATTTTATGTCTTTATAGTCTGCAATAAACTTTTATGTAACTATTAAACTTGCTATTGAGTGCCTACCATGTGCCACTCGGCACTAGTGCATAAAAAAACCATGAAGTTCTCAGTTCAGCAGGGAGTGAGGCATGAGGCATTGTCACAGTTACTATATGGTGTTACATACACTATGACAGAGGAATGCTCAAAGTGCTTTGATAGCACGAATACATCTTTATGTTTGTTGACTTGCTGACTGCCAGGTCTATTACACATATACTTTAAAAATGTTTTATGGATGGGAAAGTGAAGGCTCAGAAAGAATAAGTGACTCGTCCAAGTTTTAAAGCTAGTAATGAGCAAGCCAGGATTCAACAGTCAAGCCTTTTACTCCTAGAACCAGCACTCTTTCTAGTATACTCCAGCTACCATAAATACGTACATCCTAATACCCTCATTATCACAAAATCATTTAGGAGATGCTTAGTTCATTAATCTTTCCTTCTTTTCCAAATTCTTTTTTTTTTATTACTCTAGTGTTTCATAGTTGAGTGAAAAAGAGGGATGATTAGGAATAGATCTTCCTTAGAATAACTATGGAGGTCTTTTGGAGTACCTGGAATACTGAGCTAAGAGTTTCAAGGCCAGCCAGTACTTTTAGCTTAAGGGTCAAGTTACTCCTTGAATACAAGATAAAAACATGAAGCCTCCCTGCTTTGCTTTCTGTTTCAGCAACCTTACCTCCTTTCCTCACAAGTGTCTTGGAAAATTTATTGAAATGAAGAACAATGGGCTCTGAATTTTTCAAAAAAGTGTTAAAGTCAGAATAGCAGATGATCTTATTTAAGTAAGTGAGTTCCACTGTTCTCCTGAAAACCAAGAGGTATATAGGTTGAAATATATTTAAAGCAGAATTCAAGAAAGATTATTTAAACTTTACAAGATTGATCTCATTTATTTATTTATTTTTTTAATTTCTTTATTGGTTAAGGTATTACAAATGTGTCCTCACCCCCCTTTACCCCCCCCCCCCGCCCCCCCTGCCACTACTCATGCTCTCATCCCCCTGTTGTCCATGTCCATTGATTTGGCTTATATGCATGCATACAAGTCCTTTGGTTGATCGAGATTGACCTCATTTAGTCAAGGTAATAGTTTTCACAAGAAAACTCTTGAGCCGTAGCCAGCGTGGCTCAGTGGATAGAGCACCAGCCTGTGGACCAAAGGATCCCAGGTTCGATTCTGGTCAAGGGCACGTACCTCAGTTGCAGGCTCCTTCTGGGGCCAGCTCCGACCCTGGTCGGGGTGTGTACAGGAGGCAACCAATTGATGGAAAAATATCCTTGGGTGAGGATTAAAACAAAACAACAAAAAACTCTTGGGCAAGTAGTTCACAATGGCGCAGTTCATGGACTGACAACATGCCCCAGGGCCCAGACCCGATCCCTCAGGAAGTCCTGCTTTAGACATTATAGGTGCTGGCATTTCTATTGTAGCAAACCAAAGCCAACAATGCAGTGGGACTGACAATTCTAAATCTGCTTTATTCAGGGGCCTGAGTCTCAGAGGAATGTTGCTCAATTATATAAATTGGGTCTCATAGTCCAGGGTACAATTCCTGGAATCTCCTGAATATAGTATTTATAGGAATTGGGATTAACAAGTGCTCAATAAATATTTGTTGACTCGTTGCCAGGTCTATTACACATATTCTTTAAAACTGCATTTCTAGACAAAGAAATTCGCTGAAAAAGGTATAAATTACTTGGGTGTCCTGTAAACACAGGCACAGAAGAGTCAGAGAAAGGAATTCGAGAGGTAGAATTGAGCAATGTTTTGAAATGTATAAATAAATGATTGCTACATGTGATCAAAACAAGCTGTAGCACAAACCTAAGAAGTCCAACTAATTAAGGAGATGACGGCACAGACAGGTGTCTTCGCTGGTTGTTTACAGTTAAAACTGTTTCTGAAAACCTCATTTCCAAGTTATGATTACTCCTTACAAAGAAAACACTGGCCTTAGAAACACATTGCAATACGGCTAAGGACAACCATTAAGGAGGAACAACAACTAGAATACAAATCTCATTCTTTTTTACACTATACTCTGATTCCACTAGTTGATAAAACATGTAAGTCAGGATGATTCTGGCAGAGAATGACTTACCCAAGGCCATTCCCTAAATCAGAAACTTAGAAGAAAACCAAAGTTAGTAGTTCAGCTTTTTTTTTTCAAGCAACATCACTAGGAATGTCATCAACACACTAAGGATTAGTTGTCCCTAGATCAGGTTCAGAACTTTAATAACTGCAGGCAGCAAAGAGAAGCTGGAGTGAAGGAAAACTAGGATGTTGTGATTTCCCCAGGCTTAATATGGGAAGTAAGGAAAGAACTCTAATTCCAGTTCTGGGGCCAGATTTCTTTATGATCTTAGGAAAGCCTGGTGGTCAGTTTCCTGATGTGTTAATGCTGCTAAGAATAGGGAATTTGTGATTAACTTGGAACTGGTTCCTTAGCTTAGAAGATTTACTCTTGAAACTGAGAACCGAAGATCTCAGTGTTGGTAAACGAAGATATTTAAGTTAAATCTGGTAGAAGCCAGCATGCCAACACATCTTTTAGAAAAAGTACTTTGCATATGCAAAATACAACTTTATAATTTAGAATATATAAAACTCCATAAGTTAAGAAAGTCTCTTACACTTTGAAACCCACTCATGAGAAATATTTATTTGTGACTTGGCACACAGTAAGCACTTCATAAATGTTGGCTATTATTACTGCCCATTCCTATGTTCTTATACAATTTTTAAGAAGGAAATTTTTTGACAGATTCCCATATTCTTTCTCAAATGGCCTATGAGGAAGAAGGAAATAGCCCAGTGCAATGAGGAAGTATAAAGTGGCAACAGGTGGAGGTTAACCAAGGTTCTAGACTCCTGGACCTTAGAGCTTTCCTTTTGTGCCCTAAATGTTGACTAAGATGTCATTTTTCAGATGCTATTTTTCCTGATGGTGCATAAGCACTGTTTTTTGTTTGTATTTAAGACAAATAACTGTTACTATATTGAAGTTGACAGCTAAGAAAGAATATAAAAATGCTGAAAAAAATGTATAATGTATAATTGCTTTACCAGTGGGCAAAACCCTTAATTCAGCATGGTCCACTTTGTCCTAGATCCTAGAAGAGAATCCAAGATTATACTCTGAAATATGCGACCACTTACTTGTTCTAAATTTCTCCTTGAGGGTATCCAGATCCTCCTTCAGAGCAACTTGCATCCACACCAAGCCCACGCAGGCCACGACACAGGCGGCAAGGATGACAAAAGCACAGAGGGGATAACAGATCTTGCAGCATCGTAAATAGTCTCCCCTGATCACAAGAACAAATTCAACCAGGAGTACAAAGGTGATTATGAGCACAACTTTATTAGAAATAGCATTCCTGTACTGCTATGCAATTATGCTTTTCAATAAATAAGCAGTTGATTTACCAGGGAATACCGAGTAACATAGTTAAATCTGAACAGCAAGTTGAAAATAACCAAGTAATATGACCTATGAAGAGGTCATCTATTCAGTACAAAAGTTTAAAACTTCACATGAAACAGAGGGACTTCCTGTGGGCCACAGGAAGCACCTGTGGGAACTGCAGCTCACTGCAATCACTACCAATGCAAGTCTTTGGAAATAATCTCAGGTTAGGAAAGTGCCGAGACCAGGGCTTCTCTGCAATTCCATCACTGCACTGTAATTTACCTACCTGCCTCTGTCAAACGCATGCTCACTCCAGGGGACCCTGTTCAGTTTATTGAAACTTCATAAACTTTTGAGCAAGTTTTACTGCAAATGGAATGAAAGAAATAGGAACTGTAGGGTGAAGTGGACACCTGGTACACTCTAGCTATCGGCTTAGAACAGGGGTCCTCAAACTTTTTAAACAGGGGGCCAGTTCACTGTCCCTCAGACCGTTGGAGGGCCGGACTATAGTTAAAAAACAAAAACAAAACTATGAACAAATTCCTATGCACACTGCACATATTTTATTTTGAAGTAAAAAAACAAAACGGGAACAAATACAATATTTGTATTCGCATGTGGCCCGCGGGCCGTAGTTTGAGGACCCCTAGCTTAGAAGAAAGGAAGCATAGAAAAGAGTTAGATTTCACACCAAATTTCAACCAACACTCAGGTCTAAACTAACCCAGAAGGGTAACTATTCCAGATGAGCTATTCCATTTCATCAGATCTGCACAACCCAAACTTAGGGTTGTCCTTAACTACCTAATCTGGCAAAGCTCATCAGAAGCCAAATCCTTCCTTTAACAAAATAGGACAAAGATACTCTAAGCCAGCGGTTTTCAACCTGTGGGTCTCGACCCCTTTGGGGGTTGAACGACCCTTTCACAGGGGTCGCCTAAGACCATCGGAAAATACATATATAATTACGTATTGTTTTTGTGATTAATCACTATGCTTTAATTATGTTCAATTTGTAACAATGAAATTGGGGGTCACCACAACATGAGGAACTGTATTAAAGGGTCGCGGCATTAGGAAGGTTGAGAACCACTGATCTAAACAAACTCAAAGGATTCAACCTCTTTTCGCACCCCAACCTTCTGCCTAGCCCTTGCTTCCACATGCTCAGCAGAATATCTTTTCTTTTAATGTAGTCCCTGAGAGGGTCCAAGGCACTGTACAGGTTCCCTCCAGCCCTTTCCCAACCCTGAGCCCTAATTCCCAATGTCCTCAATACTCACTACTGGGTCGGTAGTGGCTGCACCATTTGAAAGTGGGTTTGGGAAAAAGCTGCCTCTTCAGTTTGTCCTCCATGCTCCATTAACTCTCAAGGCTCGTACAGCATGTCCCTCAACAAATTCTTCCATCACCAAGATTCAGACTCACAAGAGTGCAAAATAAACAAATAAATAATTTACAGTCTTAAAGTCCCTATCTCGGGGGACCTTAAAAAAAGGCTACTTCCAAAAGCTTGTCTGCTCCTATGTTCCTATTCTTAGCTTCTTTGCTCCTCCTGACTTGGTGTTCCTGGGCTCCTGGCATCTTCCCCACATCCACACTTCCACCCTAGGTTTAGAGCGCTTTTTTGTACACTTACAGACAGATCTCTAACTTATCCTTCACTGAGAACCTGAAGAAACAACTTTTCTCCCTCTTTGCCTTCCAAGGACTACACCGACTGATTTTTTTCCCCCCCTAAGAACTCCCTTCTCCTTCTCTTCAATTTGCCCCCTTGGTCGTGCAAGGAGCTGTCTTCTCCCCATCCCACCCCTCACCACCGCATCACTCACTTGACAAAGCGAGAGCGATTGCCAACTACACCAAACTCCTCTTCCTCCTCGGAGCTGGATTCGGAGTCCGAAGCAGGAGGCTCAGTGCGAAGCAGGCGGTGGCCCGAGCCTTTCTTGGGCTTCTTTCTCCGGCTCTCCCCAGACAAGCCAATCAATGCATTGAGCTCTTTGCGCTTTTTCATCTTCTTGTGTGGGGTGAGCGGAGCACCCACTCCGGAGCTGCCAGGTTCGTACCCGAGGCCCAGCTCTCTTGCTACCTTGGAGCTGCCTTCCAGGGTGGGCGATCCTGGGCCAGAGCCCCCTGGCCACTCCCACCCAGGGGTGGGACTGACCAGATCCGCTGGGAGCTGGAGATGGGAGCCCAGAGGAAACTGGAACTGCTGGGTGGGGGAAGTCACATAGATAGGGCCAGGGAGCTGGTGATCCAAAAGGTCCTGGGCATGAAGTGTCAGTTAAGAGGGTGTGAAGGGGGATAAAAACCAAGCCAAGAACGAGCGACGCTCAGCCCTGATAAGTAGATAATGTTCCTAAGGGTGCTCCGAGAGCTGGGGAAGGGCACACGGACGGGTGCTTTGGGCTTCCGGGCAGGATTTCCAATGGAGAGAGAAGAGAAACTTGTTCTTGAACGGGAGGCAAGGGAGAGGCGCACAACCAGGCAGTGCAGCGCGCCCGTCCCTCCTCTGCTGGAGAGGTGGCAGCAGGAGGGGCTCCCGGTTGCTCCAGTCCGGACACAGTCGGGGAGACAGCCAATGTCCGGGTCGGCGGTGCTCACTGTCCTCCGGCCCTAGTTTGCAGGAAGTCCAAGACCGAGGAAAACCCAGAGGCCGGTTCAGAGGGCTGGGCCTGGGAGGAGCCAGTCCCGCGCCCGGGGAGACCCCCGCCCCGCTGTCTGGGCCTGGGGGCACGGTGCGGGAGGGCGACGGCGGCTCTGCCCACCTGAAAAGCTCCCGCCCAGAGTTTGAGGTGTTCCGGCACCGGCGACTCTTGGCAGCTCACAAGCGCCTTCTTCGCTCTGTCCGCAACTCCGGCCTCCGCTCCGGCTGCGGCCGCGGCTGCTCCCGACGCGCAGGTGGCGGCGGAGGCTGCCGCGGGTTCCAGCCCCGGGCCATCGCTCCAGCTCCAGCTCACTTCCTCTTGGCAACAACTGCCAGCGCCACCTGCCAGTAAGCCGCGTTCCCATTGGCCGGCTTCCTGGTGACGTCACACCATCGGCGCAAAGGGCCCTGGGCACCTGCAAGGGCTGGGCCCGCTCGCTGGTGGGGAGGCCCCGCCCCCACAGGGGCGTGCGCTCACCTGAGCTGGGAGGAATGCTGTTTCCTGAGGGGTCGGCATGGGGTCAGCCGAAGCGCCTAGGTACTTGACTTGCTTGGAAACTTTAACCAGCTACCCTGGCCCGTTTGGTTCAGTGGGTCGAGTATCGGCCGTTGAGCTGAAGCATCCCGGGTTCGAGCACATGCCCCGGTTTCGGGCTCGATCCCTAGCAGGGGGCGTGCAGGAGGCAGTAGATCAATAATTCTCTCTCATTATTGATGTTTCTATCTTCCTCTCTGAAATCAATAAAAATATGTTTTTTAAAAAGCTTATCGAACTGAACTTATGAACTTACTCAGCCTGGAGGCAACGCACCTCTGACTCACGGGCTGTTTTTGACCTGATTGAACAGTTATTCATTTCATAAATATTACCACGTGTCACGAGCAGTTCTGGCGCTGGAGATACAGAGATAAGCAAAACAACTACTGTCCCCCTAAAAATAAATACAGGACACCCAGTAAAGTTTGAATTTCAGATAAACAATGAATAGTTTTTTAGTGTATGTCCCATACAGTTTCTGGGACATCTTCATACTGAAAACTTAATTTTTTATCTGAAATCCAAATTTAACTGGTATCCTGTATCTATCTGCCAATCCTATTCCTGCAGCTTTATTCTGGTGGGAGGAGAGCAACAACAGACATGCATATCACATGTCAGGAGGTGATAAGTGTTATGAAAAAATTGAAACATAAGGGGATGGGAAGTGCCTCTGTGATAAGGGGACATTGGGTTATAGACTGGGAAGAAATGGGAGAATGAGCTATGCAATGGCCAGGAGGAAGGAGTCACCTGGAAAACCTGGTGTGGCTGGACCTGAAGAGCAAAGAGGAGAGAGGTGGGAAATGAGATCAGGGCCAGATTGTGAAGGGCCTTATGTATGGTGGTGCGGACTTTGGGAAAACATTGGTGCTTTAAGCTGAAAGGAGGCGTACTTTGGTTTAGATTTTTAAAAGATCACTCTGGCCTACTGTGTGGAAAAGAGAATTGGGAGAAGGGGAGGGACAAAGGAAACCAGGAAACCAGTGCAGATAGAGAATGGTGATAGACTAGGGTGACAATAATGGAGATGGTGAGCATTCTGGATGCTTCTTGAAGTTAGAGCTAGTAATGTTCACTCATGGGCAAGATGAAAGGTGTGAAGAAAGAGGAGTAATGGAGGACTTCAGAGTTTTTGGGTGGGACAACTGGAAGAAGGGAATTGCCATTTACTGAGATGGCGAAGAGCAGGTGTGGGGCAAGTTTGAGAAGACAATTCAATATTCAAATGGCTTTTTTGGTATATCCATTTAGAATTTGGGGCAGAGTTTGGGGCCTGAAATATAAACCTGAGAGTATCAGATGGTATTTAAAGCAAAGAGCTTTGAACTACTTGGAAGAAAGTAACTTAAAGTAATCTTTTTTTAAAAAATCTATTTTTATTGATTTCAGAGAAGAAGGGAGAGGGAGAGAGAGATAGAAACATCAATGATGAGTGTGAATCATTGATTGGTTGCCTCCTGCACGCCCTACACTGAGAATCGAGCCCACAACCCTGGCTTGTGCCCTGACCAGGAATTGAACTGTGACCTCCTGGTTCATAGGTTGATGCTCAACCGCTGAGCCATGCAGGCCGGGCTTAAAGTAATTCTTTTATGGCAATTACGTGATCATTCTTATTGTGCCATTTGCACTGTGTTTGTTCAGGGAGACACACCCAAAGCCGGTGTGTCTTATTTATCTTTCTGTGTCTAGCCCAGAGGCAGGCATTTAGTAACAATGATCTGATAAATATGTGATAGATACTTACATAAGTGGGCAGAGTTGTACAGAAGTATGAGTGGAGTTGGAATGACGAGATCTGGGATTAAATTATGCTTCTAATATTATCTCTGTCAGCATGGAAACCATTTAAATTTTCTGAGCTTCAGTTTTCCCTCTGAAAAATGGCGATAACATCTATTTCACTGGACAGACAAATGAGAAGATGCCTGAGAAAGTGCTTCTGAAGCCCCAAATCATGGTGAAGTTATTGCTTTTATTGTCTCCTTTTGATTCTGGAGCTGTGCACTCCAATACAGTAGCCACTAGCTATATACGGCAATTTAAATTTACATTTAACTTAATCAACATTGAATAAAAAGTTTAAATGAGTTCTTCTGTCTTACTGGCCACTCTACTACAACAGGGAGCCAGGGGATGAGGAAACCACAGGAGTGAGGCAGGCCACAGATGCATCGGCCAACTGCAATGACTTCTGGTCAGCCAGATCCTGCCCTCTCTGCAGGACTGGCTACATAATTTGTGGGGGCCCAATGCAAATGAAAATGCAAGGTCCTTTGTTAAAAAGCAGAAAAACGATTTTTCTTTCCTTTGTTATTCCTTACTCAGCCTGTCATGCTGTTTATGATTCACTAATGAATATTATGCTCCCTTGGGCATGGGGATAATCACAGGGGCCTGGGACCCTGCCTCTGGCTTGGTGTGCATCCCCTCCCTGCATCCAGGCCCCTGCCTGGGACAGAAGAAGGACAGGGAAACAGGTAGACGAGAACCCATTTTGGGGAGAGGAAGGGGGGAGGTGATGAGAGATAGAATGACCTGTGAGCTGAGACTCCAGGTCCCCAGTGCATGCTTCATTGTTTCATTGACTTCATTTACAAAACACAAATTCAAAATCAAATTACTGTGAAATTCAAGATGGCAACCACAGAACATTAAATCCCATTGAGGGGCACCCTTCCGAGTGGGGGGTTCTGTGCAACTGTACTGGCCACACACCCCTGGAGCAGGCCCTGATAATACCTAGCTCACAGAGCAGCTGTGAAGAGGGAATGTGCCTGACTCATAGTTAGTGCTCAATAAATGTCAGCTGCCCTCTGAATATGATTAATTATTAAATGTGATGTACTACAGACTTACTAAATGGAATTCTGATGATATGCCTTTATTTACCTAATAGAAAAGACTGCTTTCATCTACTTTAAGAGCTCTGTTTGCCATCATCTTTCTTGGTGTTTTGCTATGGCTAAAGAGGGGGGAAGGAACAGAAATGAACAGTTAAACATACTTAGGTATCAAGCATTTTGGTGTTAATCCTCACTACAATAAGCTAGTCTTCACCAGGCAAGTGTTTTATCCCTGCTCTAATTGAGGAGGAAAATGCTGCTCAGAGATTGCAAGAGGCTTGCCCAGGGACACACAGGACATCAATGGCAGATGCTGGGACTTGAGTCAACTTCTGTCTGCCTCTGAAGCCTGAGTTCTGCGCCCAGTGCCCTGCACTACGTTGATGGAGCCCACTGCCTGGGGCCTTTTTCTGGAACTGAAGAATCTTCCTTCTAGGGTGGCCTCATCTGCTTCCCCAGGCCCCTTCCCCATTCTTTTTGCTGTTGTGCTGGCAGGTGCATCCTGAACCCTGAGGAGAGGACTAAGGACAATGGGAGGGGAAGGATTGGGTGGTAGGAAAGGGGCCAAGCTCCAAGCTAAACAATGGTTCCTCTCCCAGTGGGTCCCAGGCAGCCGGAAGTAGCAAATGGTTCCCAGCATTATTGTGGGCAGGGGTGAGGGCTGCGCCTCTGGGATTCTCCTATTCTAGGCACAGCCTCCTCCGAGTTGCTGCAAGCTTTGGTGCCTCCGCTGTGTAGTAGCTTCAGTTTCCCCATCTATGAACTGTGCTTTAGCACTCAGAACAGTGCC